GAGTACTGTGTGCTCTAAGCAAGCTCATCTTCCTCCTCCTCCTCCTCATCTTCCCCATCCGCAGAATCCTCAGGCATAGCTGAGATTACCCCCTCCTCAGAATCCACGGTCAGAGGTGGGGTAGTGGTGGCGGCCCCCCCTAGAATTGCATGCAGCTCAGCGCAGAAGTGGCATGTCTGCGGCTCTGACCTGGACCTTCCATTTGCTTCTTTGGTTTTCTGGTAGGCTTCTCTGACTCCTTAACTTTCACGCGGCACTGTAGTAAGTCCCTATTGTGGCCTCTCTCCATCATGCCCTTGGAGATTTTTTCAAATGTTTTGGCATTTCGTCTTTTGGAACGTAGCTCTGCTAGCACGGAATCCTCTCCCCATATAGTGATCAGATCCAGTACCTCCCATACGGTCCATGCTGGTGCTCTTTTTCGATTCTCGGACTGCATGGTTACCTGTGCTGATGAGCTCTGCTTGGTCACCTGTGCTCTCTACGCTGGGCAAACAGGAAATGAAATTCAAAAGTTCGCAGGGCTTTTCCTGTCTACCTGGCCAGTGCATCTGACTTCAGATTGCTGTCCAGAGCAGTCACAGTGGTGCACTGTGGGATAGCTCCCGGAGGCCAATACTGTTGAATTGCGGCCACACTAACCCTAATTCGAAATGGCAATGTCAATTTTGGCGCTACTCCCCTCTTCGGGGAGGAGTACAGAAATCGATTTTAAGAGCCCTTTATGTCGGAGTAAATGGCTTCGTTGTGTGGATGGGTGCAGGGTTAATTCAATTTAACGCTGCTAAATTCAACCTAAATGCATAGTGTAGACCAGGCCTCTGACTGGAAAGAGAGCACAGCTGGTTCCTAGTGGCAAAGAAGAAAAGTAACTAGGATAATAATAGGGTAGACTGATAATAACAAGAATAATAAATCATTTTATGTTAACCAATATAAGTGAGCAAAAATCTCAGTTTGGAAAAACAAATACAAAATACCTTTCTTAAGATATTCAGAGAAGGCCCTGATTAATAGGAAATACTTTATTTAAAATAAAAGTATAAATTTTATATAGACTAATTAAGCGCCAAAGAGTCTCCAGACCCTGCAAGGCCTTGAAGAGCTCTACGGCAGCTACCCTTTTATCATACAGCCTCTGTTTTTTTGCTATCATCAGCATTTCACCCAGCTGGCTAACAGCTGTAACTATCTTAGCATCCCAGGGATATGTACTTCTGTACTTTGTTTAACATACCACTTGATAGATCATAAGGATTGACACAAACTGTAAAGCAATGGTTCTCAACCTTTTTCTTTCTGAGGCCCCTGCAACATGCTATAAAAACCTCCAAGGCCCACCTGTGTCACAACAACTGTTTTCCTGCATATAAAAGCCAGGGACACCATTAGGGGGTAGCAAGCAACGCAGTTGCCCGGGGTCCCATGCCACAGGGGCCCCCATGAAAGCTACATTAAAATAAACTTGTTTGTCTTAGCGATTGGCTGAACAAAAAGTAGGACTGAGTGGACTTGTAGGCTCTGAAGTTTTACATTGTTTTATTTTTGAGTGCAGTTATGTAACCCAAAAAAAATCTACAGCTGTAAATTGCACTTTCACGAGAAAGAGATTGCACTACAGTACTTGTATGAAGTGAATTGAAAAATACTGTTTATTTTGTTTACCTTTTATAGTGCAAATATTTGTAATAAAAATAATATATACTTTGATTTCAATTACAACACAGAATACAATATATATGAAAATGCAGAAAAACATCCAAAATATTTAATAAATTTCAACTGGTATTCTATTGTTTAACAGTGCGATTAAAACTGCAGTTAATCGTGATTAATTTTTTGGGGGCTAATCACGTGAGTTAACTGCGATTAATCGACAGCCCTTGAATTAAACTTGACATTTTGCAGCTTGCTTTTTTTTTTTTAAATACAGTTTTTTCTATACTCTGTCCAAAATATGCAGCTTTTATTTACATTACATGAGTCACATGGAGTTAAAGATTTGCTGGACTGGAGAATGCAGTTGTGCTAGCAGACCAACCAGGACTATGTTGTAGCTCACAGTTTGGGACCCCCTGCATTAGTTAATTGCATCCTTTTAAAGAAAATGTTTTTATTTAAGATATTAGTATTAGTAGAGGTGAAATCAGTTAAATGAACCTCTATTAGAAAATGCTATTTATTTAGTTTATTAATGTTAATACATCATCATATCAGGTTACAGTAGCTGAAAAATTAATTTGTTATACCCTCCCAGTATTGATTCTTACTTTCCCTTGCCTTTCCTCTGCTTCCCCTTTTAATTTGTTTTTCTAGTAGTGAATGTATCTGGGATCTGTGTGACACATGCATGGATAGATGTAGACTTTCTATAATAAATCCCTTTCCTCGGAGGGGGGCTCAGTATATAATATGTTAATTACAGTAGCTACTTAAAATCAAATTGATACATTGTGTTTTCCATCAGCACTGGTAAGCAAGCCTTGACAGATGATGAAGAGTTTTTGTTTTCTGATTCTGTGTGTAAAACAAAATCTGATATCTAACAGGTCAGCAGTGCTTTTAAAGCACAGCTGCACGTTGAGTGGCAGAATTCCCTGTCAGGTAGGGGGAAGGCAGCAGGTGCATCTCTACAGGAGTGCAGCCTACGCTTCCTTGAGCACCTGCGCATGGCATCCCCCATCTTGTTCCTCTTGGGGTGACTTATGCCTCCAAAATACCTGGATCAACAAGTAAAGTGCTCCAAGGAGCAGTAGGACTGCTACTCCACTGCTGTGCACAGGCACCCAGGGGTGCATATGCCCTTCTCAGCTCCTGTTGCACACCTGTGGACTAACTGATCCTAATTATTTAATTACATACAGAGGTGGATATGCTTTAGAAACTGAAAACCGAACATGTGTGTCTATATGGTGTTTTGGAAGTTATACTATAATTAAAATGTTAAAATGTTGCTGAAAGCTACATTAGAGGGTGTAGCAATGCCTCTGTTCCTTACTCTGCCAGTTAAAATCTCAAAAATCATAGATCCCAATAATGCTGTCAATTACAACTATGAAACTCCATCAAATTGAATGGAATCGGAGGAGTAACAGCAACATTTGGCTCAAAGCATATAATTATGAAAGTAACGATGCCATTAGAAATTGGTGGACATTCAGTTTGAAATTCAGCTCACAAATTGTTCTGAACTGGGGAATTTACATATAGGATCTGACCAGTGGTCTTTCTAGTCCAGTGTCTTGTTGCTGACAGTGCCCAATACCAGATACTTCTTAAGAGGTTTCAAGAAACTCCAAAATGGACACTTATAGAGTAACTAGTACATACACATCTTTTTTTCTAAACCTCGTCAATCAGTGTTTGGTTTATTCCCTGATGCATGAAGGCTTATATCTAAAGACCCATGAAATTCTTTTTATTTTAATAATAGTTTTTGTTCTATTTTGGGGTATTTCTTGTTAATTTGTTTATCCATTCCCCTCCTCCCAACCCAGGGGGTTGGGTCCTGTCCCCGGGAGGTGGGAGGCCCTGGTGGGGCAGCACAGAATGAGCATGTCCCACACTCACTCTGCAGAGGTGGCTCTGTCCCATGGGGCTGAGACTGGCTCTCCACTCCATGTATTGCAACCTGGCACACTGGGTCACAGTGCCACTCACTCAAATTTGGCCTGAGAGGTGCTGCGATCTCATGTGCCAAGTCACAACTCTGGGAACGGGGAATTGATCCCAGTCTTATGGGACAGGAACCACAAGAGCCACCACTGTGGGAGTGAGTATTTTTGTTTTATTTCATTTTCATTGTTTTTCATGTTTTGTGTTTCACATTTGTGAAACACAAGGGGCTCTACATATATCCATTCTAGTATTTGTCCTAGCTAAAGTAACTGTTGATGTTCTTCTTATTGGTGTAAAAACACACATAGTTAAGGTTGCACAAACATTCCTATTCTAAGAAGTAATTTTCAGGCTCTGTTTGGAGCTGGTCAGGACTAAAACTGGGCAAAATGTTGTAAACAATGAGTTTATTCCCTGAAAAATACAGGTTTGGGTTGACCTGTTATAGATGTGTTTGGCACAAATTCACCAAGTAGTTTTGGATGAAAAAGAATTGCTGGGAGCTAAATTCATAAGGGGACTTAGGCACCATTCAAAGAGGACAAGAAGGAGACTGTGATGCTGCTGTCAATGACAACCTTATGCCCAATAGCCCATTTGTTAGAACATTCACCTGGGATGTGATGGATCCAAATTCAAGTTCCTGCTCCAATGATCTTTTAATTATTTATACAAAGTGGAACAGCTTCAACTTGTAACTTGAAATTTGTTGGAGCATCCCCATGCCACAAAGGTGTATTTTAGTGGTCTGGTGAAAACTGAACGAGTATGTCAGAGTTATAATAGTGGTTTAAAACTATATTTGCATATTCACACAATTTTGTATTGCAATCGCTTAACAGTCTTCTCTGTGCAAATGGATGTAGTTTAGAAAAGCTCATAAGCAGTGCTGTGCCTTTTTCAGTGATGTCTGAGGAAGGAGGCAAATGTTCTAAGGTTGTGTAAAACTATTTCCTTCTATCAGTTTTATCAGTTTGTTGTGTTTTAGTTTCAGTGACTGTCCCCTTGCTCTTGTATTATGAGATTTACCTTCTCTGTTCTATTAATTATTTTGTATATCCTCACCCCTTATTTATATCCTCGTTGAACTAAACAGTTCCTGTCTTTTCAATCTTCCTTTATAAGGAAATATTTCCAAACAGCTAATCATTTTCATCACTCATCTCTGGGCCTCTTCAGTGTCACCTGTATCTTTTTGGGGAGAATCCCTTAGAAATGAACATAGTTTTCCCAGTGGGGATAGGCCATCAGTCTATGTTATAATATTTTCCAATGTTGTTTTCTATCCCATTCTTTATACACCTTATTTTGTGCAAAACTAAGAAAGTATTTAAATATTTGTGCTGAATTCTTACAATTGTAACTATGCTTTTGCCTTACAGGGTACACCAGCAAGTCGTGTAAGATACAAAGTAGATGTCATCCAGTTCCCTTACAGTGCTAGCATTTTTGATGTAGAGGAAAATTCAGGACGTGTAGTAACCCGAGTAAATCTTAATGAAGAGCCCAGTACGATATTTAAGGTATGAATATCAGCAGGCATATGCATATATATTAATAAAAATATGACAAATGTTATTTCATTTATACCTTTGGTTTTATATTATGTATTATTTCAAATTTAACCAGTTTTCATTTGTGATTGAAGAAAATGTAGTTTGAATTAAAACCTTGTTTCCTCTTTTCTAAATATTATAGAACTTACTGTTCTGGAGATATTATTTTTGGTTTTGTTTCTTTAAATAAAACTATATCCATAATTAGTACAAAATTTATCCTCAGGGCCACAAGTGGCCTACTAGCACTATATTTTCCTGTCATATAGGAGAGAGAGACTCCAAGCCCTCATTGTTTGCTTTCAGATTAGCAGAAACTATGAGAGCTGTGAAATAATCTGTGCAGTTTCTGGGGGAAAAGATTAAGAATGATCTCTCTCAGGTCTGTTAATGAGCAGTGTTGCTAGATGCCGACAGACAGACAAAGCCTCATCCAATTAGGCACTATGACAGTGGTTGTGACATGGTAGTTTTGAATGAACGGGAGAAGGGATCTTCAAGGCAAATAAGAACCACCTAAATTCTCCCCTACCATACACTCTATCCAACCCATTGACTTCAGTAGAGGCATACAGAGTGCAAGTCAGGGCAAAGTTTGATTCCAGATGTGTCTGAGAATTCTCTTAAAGGGGCAGAGATGGGGAAGAGAAGCCTTCTCTCTGAAACTTGTGTAAGAGGTCATACTGTGTATCTGTCTATGTATTTGTCTTGTATAAAGCCTATCAAAAAGCGTAATTAGAATGAAAATGCTGTTTCTATTAATTGTCTGATGGTGGCAGGAAATTCAGCATAAAGTTTTGATGAAACTTTGATGGGATTTTCAGTTTATTAAAGACATACTCTAAAAAAAATTGATGGCAAAGAATAATTTGACTAAGAATTATGTTTTTTGTGGTATTGTTTTTATCGTACCTGAAGACGGAGGCTCAAATATAGAACAATTAGTGTTTTTCATTTGATTTGTTGGGTTCTAATAGCTCTTTCTTAATCACACTTTTTCATAGCTGAAAATGACAAAATGTCAATGGGAGAAAAATGTATACATTCATCTTGTGATGATTGGGGTATTTTTGATGTCTAATTTCCTGATGTGGAAAATACCGTCTATCAAAATATCCTTAAGTCATGTTTTTCCCTTCCTTTTGTTTATATATTTTTGAAACTAGGATAGAAGAGTTGTTTGTTTATTTTTAAATGTAATGAAATAAACCTGACCGGTCACTGTTTCAAATTTCTGACATGAATAATGTTGCATTCTGTGGATTAATCTGACAACATGAAAAGTTTCTCATTTGCTTTTGAGTCAATACATGGATAAAATTTTCCAGAGGGGGAATTATTTTGTGCTCACATTAGTATGAATATGACATAGGCTTTCTATCGCCCCTCTATGCTTCCCATGAATTCTTCATTAAGTGGCCAAATTCTGAAGCCCCAGCTACACAACTATAGGACACATGGCTGCTACATTCCTACATATGTTGTCTCTGCACTGAACCTGCTGATTCTGCGAAGTGATGGGCCTCATGCAGAAGGGGGATAGAAGGGCTGTGCTGGAGTGAGGTGCAGAGTAACTCAAGAGTGGTGAATTCTTGAAATAAAACTGACCTTACAGGCAGAGGTATTGGGGTGTAGGCTGTCCTGTCATTTTCTGTCTCAGTAGTCTGGTTGTTGTCCTCTTACTAGTTGACAGCTGTGCTTCAAACCTCTCATCATTGAGTGAGAATAGATTATCCTATTTCCCAGCAACCTGGTTTGTCTCAGCTATGGGATCTAGGATTGAATAGGGATGGACACCAAATAAGCAATAAAACATGAACAGAAACAAGAATAAGCAAAGTACCCTTACTATCTAAGGAGATCTTTCTAATTTATTATTCTAGCACAGTGGTGGTCTGGTGTGACATGGCTCGCCGTGCTGCCTGTAGCGCATTACTTGTTCTTTGGATATAGGACTTCAATTTTGAATTCTGTTTCCTTTCAGCTGCACTGAATTCACAGTTTGTTGAAAATTTGGAAATCTATATTTCTCAATCTGAAAAGCTTTTTTGAGGGAATTATTTAATGTTAAAAAGCACTATGGTACAGCAGGTTAAGTAATGTTCAGATTGCAGGAAGAGGGCAATCTATAATCAGAGAAAACAGAAAATCCTTATTACAAAATGCATTAAAATGTATATAGGTTCCCAAAGTCATGCTAGCTTGCCAACATTTAATGTGCCATTTTGAATCATGAGACAGCCTTGCTCTTGGGGGATAACATCCATAAGTTGGGGAGCTGAAAAAATGGACAATATGTAATAGCCTATTATCAGGCACAGGGATGCAGAATCTCCAAAATGAGGATTTGTAAAATCGGGATTTACCTGTTATGGCAGAAGAGCAGAAATGGTTTCAACCTTATCTTTGGTTTGATGAAACACTATATTAAGGAAATCCACTGGATAGTTTAAAGAATGTACGTTGGGCTGTCACTGTATTTTGGAGCCTGTATTTTGTATAAGAGAATATGTTGTTCAAGTTTGCAACATATTTTTGTTTAAAGATTTCCTGAACTTTGCATGATCAGTTAAGCCTATAGTTGGTTATTGTTGTCTTTTTTACCTGTATATTATGTCCCCATGTTATTTCATGATAGCATCTGTTTTGCATTTTTAAAAATTGATATCTGGTTTGTGAGCTCCTGAAAATGTAAGTGTACCCTGGATAGAAATTGACATAAAATATTTCTATCCATATTAAATGAGTGACTTTTGTTTTGTTTATAGCTAGTGGTCATTGCATATGATGATGGTGATCCTGTGAAGTTCAATACCACCACTGTAGAAATTGCTGTATTGCAACCCTCTGTAATTCCACGGTTTACCCAGGATGAATACAGGTATAGTGTGTTTCGTTTCCATCACTAGTACTTCTCCTGATACATTTGAAACAGCTGCTCTTTGAACTCCTATCTTATGTATGCTAGTGATTATTACAGTGTGCTCCTAATGCCACTCTGTGATGCTTCCTGCACAGTTCTAAATTTATTATCACTGTAAATTATTACAAAAATGTACTAATTTGTAATGATACGAGAGGCTAACAATGTAGTCATTTCATTTTCAGTCTCATGTTATTGAATGTTATACCTCTTGACAATTGGTTGGACCCAGGCTTAGAAAGACTGACCATATTTACTGATTATGCTGGTGTAATGAAACTTTTATTACATCGGTGTGGCAGTTTAGACCAATTTTTTCAAAAGTGACTAATTATTTGTAGCGCCTCAATTTTTGTGTGCACAAGATGAGACACATTAAAGGGGACTGATTTTCAGAAAGTGTTGACTACCATGAGCAGAAGAAACTAATTTGGCTGGAGTTACACAAAGGGGAGAATACCACCGCTGCCTGAACATATCCACCTCTTTGTGAATACACTGCCAAGAAGAGGGGGGAAATGTCACAGTGGAAGTCTGTGCCTAAGTCAGTGCTAGTAGAAGCATCATTAACTGTGGCATTGTTAACCTGCAACTTCTTGGGAAGGGGGAAAGAGTTGGGAGGGGTGTGCCTGCACATATACAAGCGTGGGATGACTGGGAGGGAAATAGGGTGGAGGAGCTGCACAGACAACATCACCGTACATAAGTTCTGGATATGGATCTCTTTATCTGTAGATCCTGGAGATACATAAGTTTAGGAGGCTGTGCGGCATGCCTTCTTCACAGACCTCAAATCCTTCCCTCTAGGAGGAACAGTTTGAAGGAATTTTCTTGAGGTGAACTTCTCAGAGTTCCCTGGCTCCCTTTAATCCTCTCTCCTGTATAAATCTGCAGGAGGGTATAATTTAGCATAGAATTTCCAAATTTAATTGTCTGCCTTACTGGAGCAGATGTGCAAAGAATAAAAGGCGTCCGACTGAAGAAGTATAGTTCTGTTATTCTATTGCTCAACACTGTGTTTTACCTTGTGGTGATCATTCTGGAGCACAGGATGCTGCCTTGTTTCACACTGCTATGCTTGTTGTTGAGTTAGGAGAAGCAGTCCTGCTCCTATCTATTCCCATGGCCATAGCAATCACAAAATGGAACTCTCTTACTAAAAATTGGTTGCATCATACTCTTATTAGTTCTGTATGTGGCACATACCTCTAAACACAAAGATTTCACCTTCTGCATTGATATGGGACTCAGCTGCTACTGCAGCACAGAGCCCCCAAGGTCTGTGGTCAGTGCTGAGGGAGGTTATGGAAACTGGGAAGGCCGCAGTGAAGAGTTGACTTGCCTGGGAGGGATGTAAGTCTCCCTCTTCTGTCCCATAACCATACCTGTGCTATACTACCTTTCCTGTATTGCCTTAAGCAGGGCTACTACAGACGTGAGGATTATGCCTCAACATGGCTCCTGTAGAGTCACACTGTGTGGGATCCATGGTGAGGGGAAAGATTCTCTGAACCAGAGTCACTGTGGAATTACAAGGGGGAATCCTTGTGAAGATTTAAAAACAAACTAACTTTCCCACAACTTTTAACCCAGGCAGGGATAATTTAGCCCCAAAATATGAAAAGTTTAAAATAAAACATAGAAACAAGAATTTGAGCAAAAACAAACAAACAAAAAGGCAATGATATCTGGTGATAAATAACTGTGCTTCAGGCACCAAAAATTCATATTGACTGATGGAAGGACCAGCCAACTGTCACATCAACAGAGGTTGAGACCAGAGCATCTAAAATAATATGCAAATGTTTATCTTTTTCCAGTTTCATCTAGATAGGATAGCAAAACATGCTGCAATCTACTTCTCTAGATTAGCCAGGGTATTATTGGTCAGTACAATCTTGTCACAGCCTCCATTTTGACTTATAAAACGTCTCCACAGCTCCTGAGTATTAGCAGGAAATATCCACTGGAAAAGTTCAAGGGTTGAAAATGGCACAGTTGAAACCGTGATTATTTGGAAGGTTGTTCCCATTAAGAGCACAGTTCCCATGGTTTACCTAGAATGAAGGATAGTTTGTGTGAAGCTTAGTCTTAACCTCTTTTTGAAAATGTTAATCAAAGGTGCAATCAAAGTCTCCAGGTATGCAAACTTTAGCTGTACTCTAATCTGGATAATTTTCATCCAGCCTGTATACACCATTCACATTGCACTATTGAGTCCCGATCCTGACTGAGGCCTTTTGGGTGTTTCCATAATACAAATAATAATACAAATAATAATAATCAAAAGGGTGACAGGTAAGCAAACTTTATTTTACACTCTAACAATTTAATAAAGATCAAACCAATTTTCTTGAAAATTAGTAAACAACAAATACTTGTGACTTTGGACTGCTTAATTTGCAACATTTGATTATGGAACAAATATTTACAGCTAATTTATACCTTCTTGAAAATGAGGGATTCATATTTACAGAAAACTGCATTAGGAGCCCTATATTTCTAGAGATTTATAACCTAGCTGTAAATATTTACTCCAGAATGAAATGTAGTGAACTAATCAGTCTGAGGTCATCGATATTTTTGTTTATTAATTTCAGGTTTTATTACGTTGTTAGAGTATATAATGAAGTATGCTAGCCTGTGAGCCTTTAGATTTACTACTATTATTATTGTTTGTTTATATTATGGAAATGCCCAAAACATAGACATGAGCCAGGTTACAAGGTGGTGTAAATCAGTGTAGTAGTATTAACTTCAGTGCAGCTATACTGAAGTACACTAGCTTAGACATTGTAAATAGATTAGGCAAATAACAATAATGAGCATTTTATTACCATAGCTGAAAATGGAATCAATATTTCTGAAACCAATAGTTTTTTGAAGCAAAGTAATAAGCTACAAAATAAATTTGCAAAAATCTAACAGAAGGGGATGATGAGGAAAGATTACATTTTGAGGATTTACATTTTAAAACAGCAATATGAAATTCAAAGGAATAGTATAAAATTTCAGATTGGTGGTTTAAGCAGAAAGTTTTCCTTTTTGAGATCTTATTTCTGCTGTCTTTCGTATTTTTCATTTAAGAAAACATCTCACTAAATTTACAAAGTGTAGTCAGATGGAATATAAACTGTAACAGAAGCTAGATCGTTGTGTAAAATTAATACTGTTTTCCTTCTTTCATGTTAATTTCAAATGGATGGATATTTGTGCAGAATCTAAAAAACCTCTATAGTAGAGGTAGACATATTTTATTACTTACCTTTGATGAAAAGAATAGGTTATAGCTCTTATAGTTGTGTAGAAAATCTTCTGATGAAGTACTGTCGTAGAATCGAAGAAGGGTATATAAAAGCAAGTGTATTAACTGCCTCATCAATGCCCACTGGCTCTGAAGCCTAATGATAATTATATTGTGAGTGTTGTTAACTATTTCACTGATTATCATTTTAATACAAACATTCAATGATTATGGAAAGATTATGGGATTTTGGGCAGACCTCGGTTAGTTTTCCATCACCTTTTTCCAGTCCTTGATTAATCCAGCATTCTGTTTTGTTTATAAATTTTACATTTTAGGAGAGCTGTGCAAACCTTTGCCACTGAAACCCCAAAGAGGTGAAACTCAATATAAAAATGAAACTAGAATTCTTAGGAGGCCAGCCTGAGATTTTCCTTTGTCTCAAAACCGGGTTGGTTTGGGGCTACTACTTCCCCTGAAATTTCCTCCTGTATGCTTCACGTGTCGGTTTAAATTTTTTCAGTAATCTGTTTATATTGCTCATAATTTCCATCGTCCTTCCTGACCATACAGAGGAAGGCATCCAGGACCTTGTCCATCAGTAAGGGAGAAAGATACCGTTCCATGTCCCCAGCAGCCACCAAGTTCAATTCAACCAACTCATCTCAAAAGCACTCAAAATACATTGTCACCCCCACCTGTGGTTTTAGGTAAAAATTTAAGGTACATCTACGCTGCACACTTCTGGTGGCGGCATGTAGAGTATGTGTAGTTACACTCCTCAGTGAAAAGCAGCCTGCATCCACACTGCGGTGTGTAGCTACAGAAAGCAGCAAAAGAATCCAGAAATGGCAAGGCAGAAGGGAAAGGCTCCAGCAGCAGCGAGGCAGTGGACACTACACTGGTAAAAAGAGCAGTCTAGATGGGAGAACCATTGCTTGGCATGTAGAGAGCTGTGGAGGGCAACGGTTCTCAACCTTTTTCTTTCTGAGGCCCCCCCGACATGCCATAAAAACTCCATGGCCTACCTGTGTCATAACAACGACTTTTCTGCATATAAAAGCCAGGGGTGGCATTAGGGGGTAGCAAGCAGGACAATTGGCAGGGGCCCCACACCACAGGGGGAACTGTGAAGCTAAGTTGCTCAGGCTTCTGCTTCAGTCCTGGGTGCCAGGGCTCAGGGCCCCCCCAGGCTTCATTCCCATGCGGTGGGGCTTCATCTTTCTGCCCTGCGTCCCAGCAAGTCTACACTGGTTCTGCTTGGCGGACCCCCTGAAACCTGCTCGTGGCCCCTGAAGGGGCCCCAGACCCCTGGTTGAGAACCACTGGTGTAGGGTATATGCCTTAAGGGTTCAGGGGCGTCTTCACTCACTAAGCAGTACCTCACCATATACCCTGCTATTTATACCCTGGCTAGGGGTGCATGCAGGTTATCTCCTCTACATGCCGCCATAAAGAGTGTTCAGTATAGATGTGCCTTGAGAATCTAGGCTGCTTGAGGAGCTAGGTATGGTGTCTGTCCCCACTTTCCGAATAGGTTTGCTGCTGGAGTATTCTTTTCTCATTCCAGTGTCGTTTCTCCTGGTCTGCATGCTGCTTTTCCTCCAGCTCCAACTTCCCCCCTGCCCATGTTGCAGCTTTTCCCTTTAAATCTGCCACTCCAGACTTTGCTGCCCTAAGGAACTGAGTCTGGACAATGCCATTGCTCTGGTTG